GTTGTTAACAAATATTATCTTTGTCTATCCTTATGGTTTCAAGTTGTTAATTCAGTGTGAAGTGCTTTTAGTTCTTTCTGCATATCATGTATTGAGTGTTAGAAACAGCCAGATCAGGAATTTCTTTATGCCTCTTATATAATGTCATCAGATGACATGAAAAAAATCTAAATAAAAATATTTTCAATATTTTTCTTTTCTTTTGAGAGTCAAATGAGTAAGCATTCAAAGTGTAGAATTTTCCTCAGGTTATTGTATGTTATTCTTCTTATTTAACTTTAAGGAATTATTTTATTTATGTGTAAATTCAGGAAAAGGAATGTGTTCATACAACTAACTGGTTTGTAAGTGCGTTCAGGTGTATTAAGCGGCTTGTCCTAGACTCCCTTTAAAATGTGCACACTGCCATCTGCTGGAAGGAGCTTTTCTACCACAAAAACTAAATTGTCCTATGACTTTCCCATTTCAAAAAAATAATTTAAACTAGATTCTATTGCGATTTAACAAATTTCAAATGGAAGAGTCTTGAGGTTTCTTTCAGTGAAAACCATGATGGGGGGACAGTTGTTTCTCTTGATCTTTTCAGGTAGGTTATGAAAACGCACCTACAATTTTTTTAAACTTTGTGCATGAATAGGTGGATGGGTGCTGAAGCGCTTTGTATCTTGCTGAGTATGGTTGTGTGGCATCTTGCTTGATTTGAGCAACAGCCCCATGAAGCAGGCAAAGCAAGTACGGTTATGATTTTCCATTGAGAAAATCAAGGCTCAGAGAGGTTAAATGGCCAACCTGAGGTCACTCAACCTGTTAGTGACCAGGCTGGAACTAGAATCCATGGCTTTGGCTATCTAACCATGTGATATTGTATTATTTCTCCAACTCTTATCATGCCCCATGTGTTTTGGAGTATAAAAACATTACCTCCCATGCATTGCATAAGGCCTGACAGGATGAAAATCAGCCAATGATTTTTTATTTTTTTTAAATTTATTTTAAAGATGTGAGGTACGATTAAATACTAAGTAGATAAGTGGTCATTGTACTGGTAAACTTTGGGTCTACCTTTGGTCCCCACTTTGCTTGGTTTGAGATCAGATACCCTTATTGATGAAGTGTGCCTCCCCCTCCCCTCCCCTAGCAGTTTCCCACTACTGCCATTCCCTTTCTTATAGTATTATGGCAAATGTTCAGGGTCTGCTTATGAGTGAGAACATGTGGTACCCAGTTCTTTATTTGTGTGTGATAGATCACTGAGTATTATAAACTCTAAATCCATCCAAGTTGCTGTGAAGTCCATAATTTTGTTTTTCTTTATGGCTGTGTAATGTACCACATTTTAGAACTTCAGTCCTATTTCGATGGACAGCACGGTTGGTTCCATGATTTTGCTATTGTGAATAATGCTGCAATAAGCATGTGTGTACAAGTATCTTTTTAAATAAAATGATTTGCATTCCTCCAGGTATATTCCCAGAAGGAAGATTGCTGGGTCGCATGGAAGATCAATTTTTAGATCTTTTAGAAATCGCCACACTGTTTTCCACAGAGGTCGTACTAGTTTACATTCTCACCAAGAGTGTAGAAGTGTTGCCTTTTCCCCACATCCTCTAGCATCTGTTGTTTTTTGTTATTGATGATGACCATCCTGACTGGAGTTAGGTGGTATCTCCGTGTAGTTTTAATTTGCATTTCTTTGATGACTAGTGAGGCTGAGCGTTTTTCATGTATCTGTTAGTCAGCCAAATTACTAAGGATGTTTTACAAGTGAATAATATGTAGAAACCAACTTTTTTTAAGCCTTGAAAAGCAAACTAATAAGTAAGATCCAGCGCTTTGCATACTATAGACACCCAGCACTTATTGACTTGACACATTGGAAAAAATACTTTCCGCTATGTGAAATATTTCCTTATATTTGATTATTTCTACCCATAATAATTTAGGTATACTTTGTGAGTTTCAAAATGTGTGCTGACTCAGAACATTCTATAACTGATTTTGGTTTCCACTGGAGTACCCTGTTATCTAATTAGCTTGACATAGTCGTGAGTTTTATTAAGCAATAATTTTTTGTTGGTGAGTGGTAAATATAACTTTTTAAAGTATTCTTTTACTCATTTTATAATGCTGTTGGGAACAATAATTTTGTGTATTATGTTTTCTTGGCACTGTGTTAATTTTAAATTTTACTAAGTACAAATGAATTTAGTAATTTAGGGTGATATGTGTACAATTTATACCAATTCCAATATCACAAGCTATTTGTCATTATTGCCATCTTTTCTTCATTTTTTGATTCTAAGACTTTCTGACGTAGGTGTTTTCTCTAATACTTATGTATATATTACAAATGCTATAGTATAGTTGTCATTGCTATTATACACTGGCTGCAAGTGCCTCCTACTCTCTCTCACTTCTCCAGAAATTAATTCATTCTATCTGCTTGACTTAAGTTTTAAGTTTTATTGATCTTCGGTTTTGTTTATTTATTAACATTGCTTTCAATCTTTTTAAAAAAATCATATGCTTTTACATTTTATCTACGTTTCACTAAGCACATGTTATAAGTCATGTGCAAAGCCAAGTGTCTAATTTGAAACATCTGGCATACAAGAAGCCTCTTGGGATATCAATGGGTCTCTGAATGAATGTGTTGGTGACAAGACTGGCTTTGGACTTTTAACTTTTGTTGGAACTATGAAGATAGGAATTTGGTTATCAGATAATTAATCCAGAAGAGAAGAGTGGGAGGGCTGGTTCAGTCTTCAGTTAGGTAATATGAGGTGTGGTATAAGATAAGTGGATCTACCTTGCACCAAAAAGGCCACAAGAAATCACAGCTTTTTTTTTTTTTTTTGTCTAATGTTCAATTTTTCCTTATATAAAGCTGAAATCTGTCACTTTAATAATGTGACTGACTTTGAGTTTTATTTTCTATAGATAGATATACAGAATAAGCCTAGCTCCTTTTCAGATGAAGACTATTCAGTCTTCTTTTTTAGTTTTTTCCCCTACTTTTCATACTCTAATGTCCTTAAAAACCTCTCCCTCTCTCTTGCTCATAAAGTTTTTGAGCAATATGTTTGCATGAGTTAAATTTTATAATTTTTCCCCAACCATACAATATAAGATTTGTATTATGTCCATTTGACTGAGGCTAAGAAAGATGGATTTATCTGAGGCAATTAATGTCTGGCATTTAGACTTTTAACCACTATGTTTAACCCAAACATTTATTTATAGGACACATTTTCTTGGCTCCTTCCTCTTAGCTGTTCTTTGGATATAGTCATGTTTTGTCAAACACATATGTTATAGCACCAAAAAATTAAGCTTGATACTTCAGGTGTACTCTGTCATAGAGTGGGACAACTTGGGTATGAAATGAACTACCTGACTGCATACCTATGCAATGCAAGAGTACATTGCAGATTTTTTTGCGCATCTTGGGTCATATTGTGCAGGTACTAAATTGGTTCTTACTATTCTATGCACATGTGTGTGTGCATGTGTGTGTATTTATAATTTATATATGCATATATACATGCATCCTTCCATTTAAAAGGACTTTACATCTTGTTAAAGTACACTTTGTCATCTTTAGTATATTCCAGCTTAGTTAGATTTTACCTCCATCTTTGCTGTTCTTTCCTTTTTTGTGCCTTCTACAAATTCAGTAAGAATGCCTTCAGTCTGCATTTGGGTCCTTAATTTTTTTTAAGGTGTTTTGTGCAATCACGTTGGATTCTTGAGACATTTCAACCGAGATTTCTTGGTCTGTTTCTCTGTCAGTGCATCAAGTCAGAATTTTGACTTGTGTATTTCTTTTTTTAGAACATTTTCTATCGTTCTTGAGTTATATTTCTTTTTCTCTTCAGGGTTCAGGTTCACAATGCCTGCTCTCCATATCTCTTGGATCTCATGTTGAATTGCCATTAGTTTTCCATCCCCCTTTAGTCATTGTGACAAGGGTTGAGTCCTTGTTCTTTGGAACAGCTAAGAACTTTGTATTCTAGCCTGATAGTTTCACCTTTGCCATTCCTGCTAGCATTTGCCAAGTTGCTACACATTTTTAATCTGTACTAGTTTTGCCCTGCTTAATCAGAAGATAAAATTACAGTCCACTTTAGATTCATATCCACCGATAGCTTACTGTCTGTTTTTGCGTGTAAGTTCATCTCCACAGGCTTTCTCCTCTGCATCTGTACAAAACAGAGTTGACTATGACCTTTGAGACTGCATTCAATCCAGTATCTAGGATTTTAAAGTACTCCAAATCACTTTTAGGAATTTTAGCCTAACTTTAAAAATTAAATTAAAAGGAGTGACTCAACTTTGCTCTTCTGAGCTGCATCCAGGGCTAATATTCATCTGATAGACACTTGTACAGTCTCCTTAGTAATTTAAATATTGAAGGACTTCTATCCTGTAGGACATCAAAACAATCACTGCCCAACTGTCCTACTCCTAGGGGGCACTGGGAGGGCCACCTGCTTGCTGGCCCTCAGATAAACCACCACAGCTACTGCTCCCATATCCAATGGCCATGGGCTTTCTCAGCCAGACATAGCACCCCTGGTGGCCACACAGACACCCCAGTCTGTTTCTCTCTAGCATGGTCGCAGCCAAATCACAGGCTAACAGATAATTCGCCAGAGTGACCCTCATCTGGTTGTTTTTTGTGAATGTTGTTATATGTAGATTACATCGCACACAGGGTCTTCAACACTACAGTGGTATAATGAAGCCCCTTTTGAACATATTCTCTATGTTCCTATGACTATGGAATTTACAAAATTAGTAATTCGCATACCCAAAGATAGTCTCAAAGCTAAAAGTAAATGACTTCATTTCAGAGTTCAGCTTAAAGTCAGTTTTTAAAAAAGTTATTTGACTCCAGTACTTATGATGATTACTTGGCTGATCCCTTAAATGTCATACATCTCATGAAATACTTTCTTTTGCCTTTCTCTTTGCAATTATCTTTTTTGTATTTCCAGGTGAATGAAATTTACCATGATGAGTCCCTTGGAGTGCATATAAATGTGGTTCTGGTGCGCATGATAATGTTGGGTTATGCCAAGGTAAAATGCCTTTAAAGATGTGAACTATAAACATTAGGGACTGTGTTAACAGACAAACTAAATTGCTGAAGCTATAGCTAGCGTGTACATAGATATGTCCCATGTAGACCCCTGGTTGCTGGGAGTTGAGCAAGATAAATTAACACAATGAGTGGAGACTTCAAAAGTTGAGCAGATAATGAATGATGATTGTGCTACTGCCATTTGCGTATTTACTGTCGTTTAAGGAAGGTATAAATAGTTACTCTGACTTTAGGCATGACTGAAATGGACACAAATGGATAGCATGATGAGGATAGAATTTCCTTAGCCTATCATTATCCTCAAGTTTGTGATTCATTTATAAATTTGAAATGTCGATATTGGGTGCCTACTAAGTGGCAGACACTTTCTAGGTTGCTTGAAATAGATCAGTGAAGGAAAAAGACAAAAATCTTTGTCCTCTTTTGATTTGTTAAAAATAGTATTTTACATGTATATTTATCCACTTAAGAAAAGTGAGACACAAAGTGATTTAGGTTTTCATTTTAAAAAGCTTTACTCCTTTCAAAAACAAAAAGTTAGGTAAAAATGTACTTAGTAGGCATTTCGTGTAATATAATTGAGGAGGAAACATAGGAGAAATGGCTAATGATACTTTTCTTTTTCTTTTCTTTTTTTTTTTGAATTGGAGTCTCACTCTGTCACCCAGACTGGAGTATAGTGGCTGCTCCCGGCCACCGCAGCCTCGACCTGCTAGGCTCCGGCGATCCTTCCGCCTCAGCCTTCCAAGTAGCTGGAACTACAGGCGTGCGCTACCACACCCAGCTAATTTTTGATTTGTTGTAGAGATGAGGTCTTTTTTTTTTGAGTTGGAGTCTCACTCCATCGCCCAGGCTGGAGTGCAGTGGCACGCTCACGGCCGGCCACCCCAGTCGACCTGCTGGGCTCTGGCGATACTTCCACCTCAGCCTTCCAAGTAGCCGTAACTACAGGCGCACACTACCACGCCCAGCTAATTTTTTATTTATTGTAGAGATGAGATCTCACCAGGTTGCCCGGGCTGTTCTCGAACCTATGGGCTCAGGCAATCCACTTGCTTCAACCTCCCAAAGTACTGGGATTACAGGTTGAGCCACCAAGCGTGGCCGATACTTTTCTTGATGTTTAAAATTACATGTCCCTCTCCCATTATTAATCCTCCTGATTATGAAATACTTCTGAATTGTGCATTTGAGGAAACAGAAAAAAATCCATGTGTTGGCATTCCATTATATGTTTAGCTTCCAGTTATCATTTTCTAATGATAGGGTGTCATTGATCTTCAGATTATTCTGTAAACCTGACCTACTTTGGGTTGCCGACAAGGAATGCAAGTTAACTCCAACTGGAGATAATAGCCTTTAGTCAGTTGTTAAAGCATTTGTTTTGAAAAATATGTGATCAGTATATAACAAACCAAGCTAATTTTATTAAAATATAAACACTGATAATAACATTTGTGGAACTGTAGCAAAACTCTCATCCTGTCAGCCAAATAGGGACTAATTTTGGGTTCCAAGTTCAAGTTCTCATTCTATCAGAAACACTCTCGGAAGTGTGGCTCCTAGGTTCTTGAAGGATGGCCCTTTTCTTTCTGAGATTTTAACTCCCAACTGTAATGTGATAGTAGCAACTTTCAAGAAACTTACATTCATCTACTCAAGCTTCAGGGTAATAGTCCTCCTCTCTTTATTACTATGAGATTTTTTTAAAAGGTAGGCTTTTTTTTTGCTTTGTTTTATTTGTTTTTATTGTAAGTTTAATCTAATTTGACTGCTCTGCGTAAACTGAGATTTGACCAGTTTTCACAGCTCATGGAAGAACTTATATTCTTCCCACCTGTTGATTAATTCTGGGCCAAAACACAAAACCAAACAAAAATCTAACATAGACTTTTTTTTTTTTTTACTTTTACATCTCTGCCAAAAAGTCTCATGACAGAATCTTCCCAATATTTTTGTTCTTAATATCTATAAAACTCAAATATAAGCTGTCAGAAAATATTTATTTATCTAAAATTCTTACCTAAATAGTTAATAATAAATTGCCTCACAATAGAAGATCCCAGCATTAGACATTCTCATAAACAGTGTCAGTTAACTTTCACACAGGTCATATTGATCATCATAAAGATATCCTTCATGGGCATATAGAATTCCTAAACCAAAGTGGCAGTCTAAAGAAGCCCCATAAAATATTACTGAATCATTGTAATCTCAAATTTCAACTTAGGAGAAAGTTATAAGAGGCAGCCTTGGAGAAATGTCATGTGTGGCTTTAGCATATTGTTTCCTCTCAGTCCATCAGCCTCATCGAGAGGGGAAACCCATCCAGGAGCTTGGAGAATGTGTGTCGCTGGGCTTGCCAACAACAGAAATCTGATCTCAACCACTCTGAACACCATGATCATGCAATTTTCTTAACCAGGCAAGACTTTGGACCTGCTGGAATGCAAGGTATTGCCATCAATATGTAGAAGAAAAAAACTTCAGGGCATGGCTTTTTAAAAGTAATCCTAAATCAGGTCGTCTGTTCAAATGTTCAGCTCTCCACCATCACTTTCCACCACACACCAGCCAAGCATACATTTTCTTTCTATTGCTTCCAGTGACTTCTGTGGAATTCACAATGTTAAATGCCACTTAAATACCATAATAAATTATACTTGCCCTTAAAATAGGGATTGTACATTTGGGGTACAGAGGGAAGGCTGTCAAATGCAGTGTGATTTCCACTAACTGTTTGAAATGAGAAAAAAGATGCCATGAGAAATGACTTGTGCCAAAGAACTTTCTTCCAAAGTCAGCTTACATGTATTTAATAAAGTCTGATGTGGACTTTGGAAAAAGCAGACTGATGATTTTCTTTTCAACATTGATGGAATTTCTGGCTGCTTTCATCAGGACCATGATATGAAGGACTATTTACTAAAACAGAAAGACACAAGGCTTAGCTGGTGGGCAGAAGAGAATGGTAACTCTGGGGAGTTCCTTCCTTCGGAAAGGAGAAAACACAGACCCGAATGAATTTTTTTAGAGATCATTACCTGTGGCTTTCCCAAGAGAATGTGGCACAATGCTAGTAGGGAAATAATACTTCCCCTGTTTCCTGAAAAGCTGCTTTTTTCCCTCAGGCAAAGGTCCAGTAGTAATCCTTAATGGGTTTTCTCATAAAATGAAAATAAAAGTAATTCTTATTCTCTACAGGATATGCTCCAGTCACAGGCATGTGTCATCCAGTGAGAAGTTGTACCCTGAATCATGAGGATGGATTTTCATCTGCTTTTGTAGTAGCCCATGAAACTGGCCATGTGTAAGTCACTGTTGACAGCTGTAAAGCCAAAGAAAGGTCTTTTCTTTCCTGCTTCTCTCAGTATTGTTCCCTCTTTGGGGAGAATGCATGCCAGCATGCAATTCGTGTCCCTTGCCAAGTGTGAGGCACTGCAGACAGCAAAGAGGTCATGCACTGAAATGAAATGAGTGACTCTATAAACTAAGAAAGGCATTTCTGTCATTTTGCTCTCAATTTCCATTTTGTGATTTCTCCAGGAAAGCCACGTTGACTTAAAAATACATATTTTCCAGTACTTATTTTCTTTCTTTCTTTTTTCTTTTTATATTTTATTTTAAAGATGTAAGGTACAATTCAGGATTAGGTATGCAAGTGGACATTGTACAAGTAAAGTTTGGGCCTCCCTTTGGTGCCTACTTTGCCTGGCTTGAAATCAGGTACCCATATTGATGTTGTGTTCTCCCACCCTTTCTCCCAACCCTGGAAGTATCCCGCTACTGCCAATCCCCTTCTTATAGTATTATGGTAAATGTTCATGGTCTGCTTATGAGTAAGAACATGTGGTACTCTCTTCTTTGTTTCTGTGATAGATCACTGAATATGATAGAGTCTAAATCCATCTAAGTTGCTGAGAGGTTCATATGTCTGTCCTTCTCTATGACTGTGTAATAGTCCATTGTGCATATGTATCACATTTTTTTATCCAGGGAAGTTTCAGTGGGCAGAATGGTTGGTTGCATGTTTTTGCTATTGTGAGTAGTGCTGCAATAAGCATGCATGAGCAGGTATCTTTTTTGTAGAATGATTTAAGTTCCTCTGGGTATATTCCAAGAGGATTGGTGAGTCATATGGAAGATCAATTTCTAGTTCTTTTAAATTAGAAATTGCCACACTGTTTTCCATAGAGGCTGAACTAGTTTGCATTCCCACCAGCAGTGTAGAAGCGTTTCCTTTTTTCCGCATCCTCACCAGCATCTGTTGTTGTTTGTTTTATCAATTGTAGACTTATTTTCAAAACAGAAATTAAGCAAAAACTGTAGCCCCCTGATGCTTATCAGGGAGGTCTCCTTTGTATTCCAGGTTGGGAATGGAACATGATGGGCAAGGCAACCGGTGTGGTGATGAGACAGCCATGGGGAGTGTCATGGCTCCCTTGGTACAAGCGGCATTTCATCGTTATCACTGGTCCCGATGCAGTGGTCAAGAACTGAAAAGATATATCCAGTATGTGTCCTGCTGCATGTTGGGAGAGTATTTATGTTACAGTCTTCAGACATATAACTGACACTTAGGACTTGATCATAACAAAATTCCCAGGAAATGGAAACTGTTGTTGATCACAAGCATTTCTTTATGACTCAGAGCATTTAACACGACAATTTTATAATGTAGTCACAATATTTGAAGTCATAGAAGTCATTAGATTTTAAGTGAATTTTAAACTATAATATAATTTTCCTTTAGTAAATTCCAGATGGAATCGTTGGCTAATGGTCAGACATGAGTTGAGGATGAGGAGATGATGATCATGTGACTTTTGCATATTATACCACCTATGCCCTATAGAACAGGTGTCAGGATATGCATTTCCACACCATGTGGGCATTTAAATTTGTGACACAAATAATCATGGGTTCTACTACATTCCTAAGTCATGCTTGGTTTACTTTCCTGGCATTCATATGGGTGAAGGGTCTTTTTCTAAATGGAATTAACTGAAACCAATATGTTAAAATGTATACTTTTGTGAACTTGCTCTATGATCTGATGAAATTATAAAGTATGTAAGCTAAGAGTACTTTTCTATTAGGACATGATTTAAAAATGAACATTTGGGCAGCCCCTTTGGGTCCTCTCCCACTGTGGGAGCTTTTCTGTCTTCTCAATAAATCCTACTGTCTTTTTTTTTTTTTTTTAAAAGAATGTTTACATGCATTTTTTTCCTACAGTTCCTATGACTGTCTCCTTGATGACCCTTTTGAACACGATTGGCCCAAACTTCCGGAACTTCCTGGAATCAATTATTCTATGGATGAGCAATGTCGTTTTGATTTTGGTGTTGGTTATAAAATGTGCACTGCGGTATGTTACTCACCATTGATATAGATTTTGCATCTTGAAATCTATTTGTATAGCTCTTGCTTAGTGAGCTTTACAGACCCATGGTACAAGTATAATAATATCTACCAATTGTTTTGTCTATGTTATATTGCTATGTGCTAAAGTTAAATGCTTTAAATATACTATCTTATTTAATATTCATGACAGACTAGAAAAGAGCTGATATACTTCTGTTTTACAGAAGAGAAAGCCAAGACTTACAGAGATTAAGCAACTTGCTTAAGTCCCACAGTTGGTAAATAGGGGAGCTAACTTTGAAACAAAGGCTGTCAGACTCAAATCTCTATTCTCTGTTGCTCTTTCCTGGTTTTTGTTACTTTAGAGATGACTCAAGCCTTACATATGTTGCTTTTTATTTGACTTGAAGGTAAGGATTACATGTATGTGTGACCATAGGGAAGGATTGTGCTAATATATTATCTCTTACAAGAATCGTATGGCATGGCATGGGGATCAGGAATGTAGACCACAATAGTCATACTGGGTGGGTCAGGTCCTGGATCTGACACCTACTAAATGTGTGATTTGGGGTGACTTATTTAGTCTCTCTGGCTTAGTTTCCTCATGTGTAAAGTGTGGATAATGAAAGTATTTATCTCATAGGATTAGTGTGAGGATTAAATTTGATATGTAATAAAAGTGCTTAGCACAACATAGACACATAGTAAATGCTCAGTGGAATCCGTTAAAGCCAGTCTTCCCTATAACTATACAGATTAGAGGTGTGTCTCCTTAAATGTTCATGTTGATCTTTAGTTAAAAAGAAAAGGAAGGATTTTTTTATATGTTGAAGCAAGCTTTGTGTGTTGGAGCAATAAAAATAAGTATTTCATTGTTCTGAAAAGAAATTGAGCTGCTGTTTGAAAGCTTCCATGTACAGCCATTTGGTCCATCTGTAAGGTATAAACTGTGAGCTCCCAATGACTTGCATTAACATTTTAAATCTGAGAATTCTAAATCTAATAGCCAGACATAAGTTGAGGATGAGGAAAAGTACAAATTCTACATGGAATGGAATGGAAAAGTAAAATTTCCACTTAAGCAATCAAGATTAGAACAAAAACTCCACATCTAAAAATGGGCATTAATTTTAAAGACTCTCTGCACATAAGGCTGTATATAGGTGACTAGCAGTGTAGGCAATGGATATACAGATTAATTGTTGCTTAATATTTAAAAAAATCTAAAGAATGGTATGATGTTTATATTTTGAGCAAAAAGGAGCAGATGCACAAAGAACACAAATAAATGTGTGTGATTATACAGACATTTGGATATTATAATGTGGAGGATGTTTTGGGAAAATAAAAAGCATTTTGAAGAATGTGAAAAATAATATTCTAGTCTAGCCTTGTTACTGTCTTACTTGTAACTATAACTGCAACCTTGACTTCTAACCCATATTTCCCAGCAATGGCTTGGTATGAGGATCAGATGCATGGGAAGTATTTAATAAAGTACATGAATGTATTGTGATATTTTGTTATGCCTGGAATATCTTATATGGAAAGTTGGACAATTTTTAAAATTCTTTTAGTCAACTGATTATTATGAGTCTTTTTATTATTTGTATCTAACTAGTTGTAACTATAGGGATAAAGAAAATATATTTTTGATAGTTTGAGAGCTGCCAAACCAGTATAATATATTTCCATATTTACAGTGTTCATAATAGCTACTAACTCTTTTTAAAATTCCAAGATTGTCTATTTGAAAACCAGAAAGTAGAAATGACATGCAGAATCTTTCAAAGTCAGCCAGATAATTTCAAACATACTATTGTTTATCATTGTTATTTTAGAAAAGCAGAATAAAAGTATTATATTCTTGGGATTCCTATGCAGTATTTTGTTTTTTTTAACATTTTACAGCTTTGGCTATTAACTTGAAATAAAAATACCCAAGAAACATGATGTCACGAAATTGTGTATAGAATGTATTATTGATGCATGTCATTTCTATCTGAGAGGTCACCGAGAGCTTGATTCTTTCTCTTCCAGTTTCGAACCTTTGACCCATGTAAACAGCTGTGGTGTAGCCATCCTGATAATCCCTACTTTTGTAAAACTAAGAAGGGCCCCCCACTAGATGGGACTGAATGTGCTGCTGGAAAAGTGAGTGTGTCTATTTACATAATGAAGATTTAAGATATGTCACATGTTAATCATCTTTAAAATCTAGAAAATGATGAACATAACTGTACAATTATTTTTATGAAAGCTGTAATATGTGAGGTTTAATTATGGTAGTACACCAAGGTAGTGTGCAAGTTCCCTGTGGCTGCTGCAACGTTTATCACACATTTGGTGGCTTAAACAACAGAAATTTATTCTCTGACAGTTCTAGAGGCTAGCAGTCTAAGATCAATTTGACTGAGTTGAAATCAATATGTGGGCATGATCATACTCCCTCCTCTCTAGTGGAGAATCCGTTTCTTGCCTCCTCCAACTCCTGGTGGCTACCCACATTCCTTGACTTGTGACTGTACTACTTCGATCTCTGCCTCTGTGGTCACATTATCTTCTCTTGTACCATGTGTGTCAAATCTTCCTCTGCTCCCTCTTTTGTAAGGATACATACCATGGCATTTAGGGCCCACCTAGATAACCCGTTATTTTTCCATTTAAAAATTCTTCATTTAATCATATTTGCAAAGACCCTTTTCCCAAAGAAGGTAACATTTACAGGTTCCAGGAATTCAGACTTGATATTTTGGAACCACCATTCACCCCACTACTGATAGAGTAGGAAGAAGCAACTCAGCAGAATTGCGGGCCCCCTGCTAGTGGGATCTGATTTACTTGCTGGCATCCCCACTCCTTGTGAAAGCTGCCCAGAAATGGGAAAGTCATGTGAACTTATACAGAAGATTTGACCTTGACCCTTGGGGAAGGAGGCCCAGAAGTTTTAAATCTCAAATTGTGTAGTCAGGATTGAATGCTCAGAAACTGGCAGAATGCCAAGCTATGCTACTCATGAAGGCAGAGATCCCAAAAGAAAGGCATGTTGAGAACTCAAGTTGAAGAGCCTTGAATTGTTTAGAAATAAGATATTGTGGGCAGAACCAAAAGCTGGTGTAGAAGATTTATATAGCTTTTAGTTCTTTTAAAGTGCAATTTCAAATGTGTATACACTGTACCTGTGATGAGAATTATGTGCATATTAATGGTTAAACCAGTCTTGATGAGTGTTTGCACTATGTTAGACACTATGCCAAGTGCATTATATATAGTGTGTTGCTTTGGGAAAATTTAGTATTACAAAATTCTCACTAAAACCAAACCATAGTGAGTTGACTCATTTTTGCTTTATAAAATATATAGCCTTTAATTAGCTCTTTAACATTCAGCTTCTCTAAATATAATTGCATGATACTTAAACTTATAAAAGCTGAGTTTTAAGAAACACTTTTTACTGTATGTAGTATGAAAAAGCAAGTCAAAATGTTGGAAAGGAAAATAAGTAGCATCTTTTGAGCACCTGCTATATACTGGGCACCATAAGTTAGGTGTCCTCATCGTATGAGGGTTCTAGTATAGTCCACTCAATTACTTTTTGGCCAGGTAGCCTTTATGATTTATGAACCTTTCTGGACCACAATTTTTCTCATCTAAATGATGGTGGTGATGTATCTGACCTATCTCTCTCAGGGTCATTGTGAATAAAAGTTATTAAAAGAAAGCGGCATACGTTTTGGACATGTTAGGTTTTTTTCTAAGTCGAGACATACATTTTCATGTTATCATTTTAAAAAAAGGATCATACTTCAAAAAATTCTGATCTCAGTTGTGAGAGATGAGGGGTAGGTAAGTATTTACTGTGCAAATTGGTGCTCAGAAGCTCTTTATTAATTACAGTGTTTGATTTTTACTGACTAATGTGTCTTGTAAAAACTTGTCTGAGTGAATGCTATTTTTTTCATTTTAATTTTATACTTGGAATATGCAAATCTAAATTACCCCCTGATAGGGAATCTTAAAGATATAATTGCTTCTGAATAATTTTAAATGCATCTTTACCTGAGGGAACAAAGGTAAAAGTGAAGCCCTTCCAACAGGTGGTTCTTGTCTAACAACTTCAGCTTTAGTGAATGTATGATTTTCATCTTCCCTTTTGTCATTTTTCTAAGTGGTGCTATAAGGGTCATTGCATGTGGAAGAATGCCAATCAACAGAAACAAGATGGCAACTGGGGGTCATGGACCAAATTTGGCTCCTGTTCCCGGACATGTGGAACTGGTGTTCGTTTCAGAACACGCCAGTGCAATAATCCCATGTGAGTATAATCATTGTAATTCTTACTACGTTTGGATAGGCCGGAAAGTACTTTAATATTATGTTTTTGGTATTCTGTTTCATGAAGTACATGTAAAATACAAGGCACAAAAAGAAACTGTCCATAGTTCATAAATCAGTGAGTCTTTTGGATAGATTTTCATTTATCGATCTTGTGAAGAATAGTCAGTGATGGAGATGAGCCACTCAAATGAAGCTTGGAGAGTTTTAAAGAAATGCTGTTCAGGAATATTAAGGAGCTGAGCAGGGCAAGTAGAACACTTTTCTTAGGGCCTGGTCACTGTGAGCTGTGAGAAGAAAGGGAGCCACAGGGAGGAAACAGGGCGAGGCACAATGGTTCACCCTTTCCAGGGCTGGGACGTGATTGCTTCAGAGGAGGACAACAGAAAGATTATGCTTGAAGGCCAGGTGACTATTGGGGGAAAGTTATCCTTTCATTTACTCAGTCTAAATTTATTAAGTCCCTACTGTGTGCTCAGCAAGCTTTATTTTATGAAGAAAAAAATAATGGAAATATTACACTCAGGACATTTTTCCTTGTCCAGGGTTTAATATATGAACAAGCAGCTTTTCCCTTGTTTCTGGCAGTAGGATGGCTCTGAGTGTGTCTTTTGTAAAAAGGCTATTGGAACCATATACCTGTCTTTATAGAAAGAGGTGATGGTAGTATTAGTAGAAGTAACAAAATCAATAAAAATTATAATAATAAGAGAAGCTAAGGTTCCCTATCAGCCAGGGTCTGTTCTGACTGTGTTAAAGATGCAGCTCATTTAATTCTCACAGTTTTTCTCTAAGAAATATAATATTGCAGTTTGTATATTACAAATGAGGAGACTGAGGCATAGAACTATGATCAAAATTTCTTTGAGTTGCATCTGTATATTTTATACATGGTAGAAAATGTAATTTTTTTGAGTCCATATCCATGCTTTTGTATTTCTTTATATACTTTTGTCATGCATTTAAAATATACTGTTTGAAAAACTGATTTAAGTTGAGCTTGAGGTTTTTTTCCACCCAGCGGGAAGAGAAGGATGCTTTTGGAGAGGGACTGAAATTAGGAAGTATGAGTTCATTCACTTTGTACCAGCAGCCCAGAAGCTCTGGCTTTCTGCCCTCAAGCACTGTGTCTGCTTCAATGGCTGGACTGAAGCCAAAAGACCTTTTTAAATGTTGTCTTTTCTTTAGGCCCATCAATGGTGGTCAGGATTGTCCTGGTGTTAATTTTGAGTACCAGCTTTGTAATACAGAAGAATGCCAAAAACACTTTGAGGACTTCAGAGCACAACAGTGCCAGCAGCGAAACTCCCACTTTGAATACCAGAATACCAAGCACCACTGGTTGCCATATGAACATCCGGACTGTGAGTGTCCTCCCGCTCTCTTTCCTGCTGTGTGGATGGTTACTTAGGGTTTAAGCTTTGCCAACACCAATCCCGTGGACTCTTGATTCCTACTTGGTAACTTTGAAAACTTGGTACTTATAGGGATGAGTCTTCCTGAGTTTCCAAGAATAAGACTAAAGTGTTCCTTTCTCTAGAGAGGTAAGAATTGTGCAGTAGTTCCTGGCAAGCGACACCATTACCATCACCAATGAAAAGACCTGTGGAAAGTAACACCTGGGAGAGGAGTTGAATTTTCTGATTCAACTGAAATCTCTCTACTAGGAAATGCTTCTGGAATATTGTGATCTTTCCTTTCTGAACAACTGGAGAAAAATTGAGCTCTTTGACAACTGAGTCAGGACCAAGAAAAAGGCACTTTTTCAATAACAAAAGGCACTTCATAACATTTTGCTTTTGTAGTGTTAACTAGCTTTTTAAAGATAAGACTTGGAAATTCTCTTTTGATGTTTTACCTGTTACCTATGGGTTTTGGTTAATTGTGTCCATATTTCGTCTTTGACTTCATAAAAGAAAAGTAGGTATATGATTATTATGCCATATGATAATGCACTATGGATTCAGTCTAAAGCTGTTTTAAAGGAAAGATGAATACATGTAAGAAATCACAGTTGTGATATATTAAGAAGAAATGCATTTGTTTTTATCTATTTTGGTGAAATGAGTTGCATCCTGTAAGAGGCAAAAACCATGGTAATGATGTAGTCAAGCCAGAGACATTCTTTCAGTGCTCTAACATTCCCAACACTAAACTGGTTTTGAATTAAAGTTTATTAAAGAGTGGTGGTAAAATCTAGAGTTGCCTGAGGCACTCCTAGTTTATTCTTGTTGTTCCTGCTCAGTTGTGACTAGAACCTCTTTTCACTCGCAAAAGTATTTCAGTTTAGATGACAATTTATATGGTCACCCCTAGCTAAAACAAATATGCCAAATATGCATACTTTTTTCCTGCTCTTTATTTTATTTATTTAGACAGTATTCCTTCTGTTTTCAGGAAACCACATTGAAACTTTATATTGAAAAATAAAATAAACTTTGCTGTTCCAACATTCCATTTTATGGAAATAGTTAATCTTATCCTCCACCTTCTGCAGCCAAGAAAAGATGCCACCTTTACTGTCAATCCAAAGAGACGGGAGATGTTGCTTACATGAAACAACTGGTGCATGATGGAACGCGCTGTTCTTACAAAGATCCATTTAGCATATGTGTGCGAGGAGAGTGTGTGGTGAGTTATGATTGCTTCCCCAAAGCCTTTCTACAGGATTGTGCGATTCAACATTTACTAATTATCTTTGTCTACATATATTTAGTTTTAAAATGATTTCTTATCTGTAAAGCGAGTCTATGAATAGTTCAGTAGCTAGAATAAATTTGGGAGAAACTGTTCTTACTCAAATCAAATTGTGGTCAATGGCAGAATCGAGGTTTAAATCGTTTTCCTAATTTCCAGCCAAATGTCATTTCTAAGTAATTTTGATGCCTCCGGGTTGCAAATACAAATTGGGAACAATGCATTTGCTTCAAGTATTTTACCAGTAGCTATCTACTAGTAAAATACAAGGGCTTTTTTAAAAAATTGTGTGCTTGATATGTTTCATTTGTTGTTGTAAAGATAATGAGATATCTCTTTCTCCCACTTTCACCTTCCAACTGGTTCTAAGTTTAAATGCTAAATTTCACATTCGAATGAAGGTAGTGGAGAAGCAAAAACAATGTTTGGGGTTTTCTTTTCCCTCCATTTAATCTCTTGTTTAAAAATGCAGTTTATTATCTTGTTCATGTTTATAGTTAAATTGATATGAAATTATCTTATTAACAGAAACACTGCACCTAATGTCTACTTCCTTTCCACCTTAGCAAACTGAGGTGGTTTATTAATAAGTCTCAAGTACACAGTGTCTCATCATGGAACTAAAATTTCCCTGAGAGTAGAGTATTTGCCTTGCTCATCTTTTACCTCCTGCAGTATCTATGCATTCAATGTATGCGTTGTTATCATTATTTTCTTTGCTCCCAAGCTTACAAGTGCAGAGGTGTGCCATGTATCATTATCCTACTCTGGTTTACGTTAAGGACCTGCCTTAGTTCAGAAAACCTTCAGTAGTTCTCTGTTAAATTAATGTGAAAATGCAAACTCTTCCTGGTGTTCAAAGCCTTCCACAGCCTGTGCCATGCAGATCTTTGACTACTCTTCTGCTATCTTGCAACTCTTACCTTCCACTGGCTCAAATATGGGCCCAAATATCAGTCTCTGAGCCCACGTTTCATGAACATGTAGCTTCCATAGCTCTGTTTTAACCCTTCTGCATCCCTGAAGTGCCTTTTCATTCTCTTTTTGTTCATTCAGGCCCCTGTGAAGGTCTCCACCACTTTTGTGAAGATTTGTCTCACATCCTAACCAACTTTTAACTAATGTATGGCTCACTGTATTATTATTCCTCTTTGTAAATATGAGGGCAGCAAGGGAAAATTGCCATCTTACTGTTTTTAAAATCACCCCAGCATCAGCTGTATCTGTGTTCAATAAATTTGTGTTTGATGATTAATAATTTATAATATGGTAAATATTTCATTAGACTGAAGGAAATTTATATTTTATTACCTGGAATACAAGTCATTTGATTTCCTGCTATTTCTTTAAAAGACTAGCTAACTGTGGGCCATGATTAAAAAATTGGTTCATCATTCTCTGGCATGTTGACCTCCATTTGACACATTAAAATTAGCCACATTTGATATCTTCTTTCCCCAGAAAGTGGGCTGTGATAAAGAAATTGGTTCGAACAAGGTTGAGGATAAGTGTGGTGTCTGTGGAGGAGATAATTCCCACTGTCGAACTGTGAAGGGGACATTTACCAGGACTCCCAGGAAACTCGGTGAGATGAGATCTCATGTGAATTTAGTATCCTTCTCTATGAACTTGTACTTTTTGAGACTTTTTCTTTTAGAAATGAAGCATTTTCTCTATAAACACAACCAAAAATTCACTGATGATTTATTCAGATTATCTTTTTAAGGAACTAAAAAAAAAAAAGCCCCAAACTTTGAATTTATACTCACGAGCATCAATGATTTTAAAATATACTAAATTTAGATAAAAGCAAATAAACTCAACATCAATTATAGTAGTTAGATAAAACCTGTGTTCTATTTTATTTTGCATTTTTAATTAAATGCAAATCTAATTATTACAGTGGATGCCTATTTGAATTCCTGTTGCATATAATTTGTTGCCCAGGAGTTAGAAAAAATTATAAAACTTTAGGTACAACTTCTCAAATGTTACATTGGTTTTGCTTATTTTAATTTAGTTTAAAAGTGAACAATTTTATCCAGTTTACAAATCTATAAATCTAGGATCACATAATTTTAAAAAATTTACTTTAAACAATATTGAGATACCGCCAAAAAAATAATAACCTAAAATATAATTGTTTGTGTAAATTTTTGTGCTTTTTAGAGGCAATACCTTGAACTTAGACATAAACTGGAGGTTCAAAGAACAAAGCCATCCTTGTGCAACAAATAATATGCAAAATTATCAGTAGTTGAATAAGATTCATTGGAAATTATATGAATTTGGATGTAAACACTTATTACTGAATAATTTCATGAGTTTGTAACAGATATTATTTACTAAGGATTTATTGGGCAAATGTTTCTGAGAATTCAGCATTTAAAGGTACATTTGATGTAGTGTTTTCTTGAGAAGATTCTCTAATATCTTCCAAAGAGCTGTCAGTATAGTATCTTACACAGTGATAGAAAACAAAACAAAACAAAAACAAAGGAAGATATTTGATTTACTTTATATTTTCATGATAATAATTTTTTCTTTCATGGAAGTATAAAAAGTTAGTCTTCATTCAAATGGAATAATTTCTTAGTTCTTTTTTACTCCCATAATACCCCGGTCACTTAACTCAAGCTAATTCCATATAGCAAACAGCTTTGTTCTTCGATACATTTGTGGTGGCAGAGGGGCAGAGCTAGGTGACTATATTCTAATGTGTTTCTCTTAAGTGTTTTCTACTCACGTTACTAATGTCTTCACTATTCCTGTGTGATAAATTACCATGTTTTGTACTTTGAAAATTGTTAAAAAGCAAATATTGCCATTTCTGGCTGACTGCATTATTTTAATAAAGCAAACAGAATTATAATTATATCCATATGTTATCGTTTTGGTAGATCAAATGTAATTTTCTCTATCTTGCTGTGAAATAATATACCATGCTTCTTTAATAGAGTTATATTTTATTCTTTTCTTTTGGATATAAAATAACTCATTTTATTTTTTTCCACAGTGAATTAATGTAAAGGGAAAAAAGGGTTTTGCTGTGATCACTTATTCCGTATTATATGTAATATAAGGTAGTGACACTGCTTTTCAAATACTTCAAAAATTATGCTAAACCTGCAAATCAAGGTCAAAAGAACATTAGAAAATTGTCATCATTCATACCAATTCAAGCAGTTCAAAGACAATCTAACGTCCATTTCTTTGCACTAATGTTATTATCATAGTCATTCAATAGACTAATTAACCTTTTCCAACAGGGAAACATTTAAGCAAGAGGTGCCATAAAGAATTCAAGTTGCTGGAAAATGAAATCTGCAAGTATTCAACTTCAAATCACCTACATTATTTTGCATTCATGCTTAGTCT